CTGCACCCCCCCTTCCTAGGCAGGCAGGCACCCACTGGAGACCCGACCACCTCCCACAGCCCCACCAGCTGCCAGGGGGTGACCCCACGGCGTGACAAAGGGACAAGGTGGGGATGAGGCACTGGAGCAGCCCTGGCATCCCTGGCTCCATCTTCCTCTTTCCCTTTTTTCCACGGGAAATTGCATCCCGCCCCGGGATGGACGAAGGAAGCGGTTTCTCACGTGGGTCATCACGGGGCTTGGCCGTGGGGGGAGGCACAAAGCAAAGCCTGTTCCCGCAGAGGCTGGGGGGGCGTTTTCCCACACCCCACAAATTAAACACCACCAGGGGTGGTGGGGGGGTGTGCCCCACTCTTTTACCTTTCACAATACTGGAGAAAGTGGCTGAGTGACGGGACACAAAGAGCTTCAGCTGCTCGTCCAGGTTGCAAGAGGAGAGGTCAATGTCCCAAGACCGGATTCCTTTTGGGACACACACACACAAAAATAAGGGGGGGGCTCAGCCCCTTGGCACCCACCAGCACCTCATCGCTGCTCCACAACACCCCCACAGCACCGGTTTATGCAAGAAGCAGCACAATGGGGACTGTCCCCTCCCACATCCCCCATCCAACCTCACCCTGAAACGCAGCTGTGCCAGCCCGGTGGCTTTTGGGGTGACCCCAGTGGGTCCCAGACCCCGACATGGGGCCGATGCACTGACCGGCTACCTGGCAGGCGAGCACCTTGCACGGTGACTCATGGCAGCACCACCTCTGCCAACCCAAAACCCCGTCCCCCGGGGCGCCCGGCGCACCTTCAAAGGTGGTAATTAAAGGAATTAACGGTGCCAAAGGATTCGGCACACGCGGGGCTCCTGCCAGCACCGGTGCGGGTGCTCCCGGCTCCCAGAGCGGGGTCACAAAGCCCAAGGCGCAGCCCCAAAACACCCACAACCCCTTCAGGACCCTACAAGGGGATTGACAGGGGGCTGCCAGCCCCCCCCACTGCGGTGGCCAACCGGCATGGCCACAACCGCTCCCCGTTAACGGCCCGGCAAACCAGCGGGCGATGGCGTAAGATGGCCTGGCCGTGGTGCGAGGGGGTTGCACAAATTTTGCACAAGGCACCAGACGAGGGCCGGGGACGTTTTTGGGGGGTTTCAGTGCTTGAGGCCAGTGGGGTTCGGTCCTGCCTTTGCCAGGTGCCATGGTGGGGGAGCAAGACAACAGGGCAGTGCTGGCAATATGTGTGTCCCCCCCCATGATTTGGGGGTGCTGTTCCAGCACAGGGGTGCTCCGATGTCATGGTCTGAGATTCTCCCCCCGCCCCCCAGCTCAGGGACAGCCAGGAGCGGGGGCTGAAGGGGGTCCCCACAGCACAGGCCACCCCCCCGCCCTCCCAGCCCAGCATCTGGCCCCCACAACTGGTGACAAGAGGAGGGGACAGGTCCCAGGGGTCCACCCGCAGCCCCAGAGCCTGGGGACAGTCCCCAGGGGGAGAGGGGGCAGATCCCCCAGGGCTGAGGAGAGGGGGACAGGTCCCAGAGGACAGGGAACAGCACTCGGGGGGGCAGATCCTGGGGGGTCTGGGGCAGGAGAAGGGGCAGATCCTGAAGGGTCTGGGAGAGCAGATCCTGGGGGGTCTGAGGCAGAAGGGGCAGATGCTGGGGGGTCTGGGGCAGAAGGGGCAGATGCTGGGAGGGTCTGGGGCAGATTCTGGGGGTTTAGGGGGCAGATCCTGGGGGGGTCTAAGGCAGGAGAGGGGGTAGATTCTGGGGGGTCTGGGAGGGCAGATCCTGGGGGGTTTGGAGCAGGAGAAGGGGCAGATCCTGGGGGTTTAGAGGGGGGCAGATGCTGGGGGGTCTGGAGCTGGGGAGGGGGCAGAGCTCGGGGGCCCAGATCCTGGAGACCTGAGGCAGGAGGGGTCAGACCAGGAGGGCCCCGGGGTGGGGTGGGGAGGGCGGGAGAGGGGCCGAGCCCCGCAGCATCATGCGCGGGGGGAGGGCCGGGCCCGCGGGCCCCGCACCGAGGCAGCCCCGGGACCCCCGCGGCCGCCGCCCCGGGGCTCACCTCGCTCCAGCTGCTGCAGCGCGGCGGCCAGCAGGCCGGGCCGGTGGCAGCCGCCACCCACGATGGCGAGCAGCGAGTAGCGGCGGGGCCCCGCGGCGGGGCCGGGAGGAGGAACCGGAGCCGCCGCCGCCGCCGCCGTCGCCGCCCGCCCCGCGCCCTCCGCAGCCCCCGCGGCCCGAACCGCCGCCGCCGCCGCCATCTTCGGCGCCCCCCGCCCCGCCGCGCCGCGCCGCGCCGCGCCACGCCCCCTCCCGCGCGTCACCGCCGGCAAACCCCACCCACTGATGTCACCGCCGGCCAATGGGAGAGCTCGGCGGGGAAAGGGCCGGAGGGAAGGGGGGGGAGAGAGAGGCGGTGGGCGGGGAGGTCTTAAAGGGGCAATGGCGGGGTGGGGCCGCCGGCGGTGGGGTCCGGCCTCCCGCGCGCTGAGATGCGGTGCAGGGAGTGGGCGTTGCAGGGGTAGAAAGCAGCGTGGGGATGGGGCTGTGCAGCGCGGTGCGGAGCTGGGGGCGCGCGATGCATTGTGCTGCAGTGTGATCCAGTGCAGGGCAGTGCAGGGCAGTGCAGTGCAGTGCAGTGCGGCAGGCTGTGCAGTGCAGTGCAGCGCTGCGCCGTGCAGGGGTTGTGCGGTGCAGCGAGGTGCATCACAAGGGCTGTGCAGCGCGATGTGGAGCCGGGAGCGTGTGATGCAGTGCGGCGCAGTACGCTGCAGTGCGATGCAACGCAGCGCTGTGCAGTGCAGCGCTGCGCCGTGCAGGGGTTGTGCGGTGCAGCGGAGCGCAGCGCAGGGGCTGTGCAGCACGATGTGGAGCCGGGAGCGTGTGATGCAGTGCAGCTCAGGGCAAGGGGTGCGCAGCGCAGCACAGAGATGGGAGTGGGTGTTGCAGAGATGGAAAGCAGCATGGGGATGGGGCTCTGCGGTGCGGAGCTGGGGACGCGCGATGCAGTGCGATGCAGTGCGATGCAGTGCGATGCAGTGCCAGGCTGCAGCCGCATGGCACAGTGCAGTAACCATTGCCATGGCCCCAGGAGCCCCCCTGGCCCCAGCCCACCCCAGCAGCTCCCCTTCCAGCTCCCCCCCCCCAGCCCACCCAGGATCAGGTGCCCCGCAGCAGGATGGGACCCACCCCTCCCCAGCACCCATGCCCGGTGGCAGAGGGGTGCTGACACCCCAAAGTCCCCCAAAGGGCAGGCAGCAGGTGTGGATCCAAGTCATTTAATGCAGCCCCGGACACCCACAGCCCCCCGGGCCAGGGCACCCAAGGGTGCCAGTGTGCTGTGCAGACACATCCCAATGCGGTGAGGGGGCTGACGGCTCCCCCTCCACTGCACGGGGCACAGGCTGGGCCAGCAGCGTCACGGTGGGTGGCAGCGTCCCCGGTGTCCCCGGTCCCTCAGGAGCACTTGAGGATGAACAGGTTGCAGGCGGTGCCGCGGGGGCAGCTGCAGAGCTTCCCGATGCGTGCCCCCTTCCGCACCGCGCACGGCTCCCTGGGCTCGCACTGCAGGACAGCACACCTCAGCCCCAAGGGCTTGGCCAGCCTGGACCCCCCACCCCACCCCCACCCCGGGGCTGGACCCCCCCACAACCAGCACCCAAAGGGTCCAGCTCTGGTGCCAGCCCAAGCACCCAGTGCTGAGCACCCACTGCCTGCGCCCCTGGCCATACCGTGGGCACCCAGCTCAGTCTCTTCTCCACCGCCGGCAGCTCTCTGCTCCCCAGTTTCTCCAGCACCTCCTGCAGCGCCTCGACCTGCCGCAGACACCGCCATGCCACCCCCAGGACTCTGACCTATGTCACCCCGATTTCCCACCCTGAGATGCCGGTGCCAGATCCCATGCCACCCATGAGCAGCACCCATCCCCACAGGTTGCACCCTGGGGTGTAACAACTGCTCTGGACCCCTCGTGCCTGGCTAGGGGTCAGTCCCCGCCAGAGGGAAATCAGGGCCGTGGCAGGATGAGGGTGCTTGGAGTGCTAGGATGCATCCCCCCCACCCCAGCTGCAGCCCCACATCCCCTCCCCAGCATCTCCCCTCACCCCACCTGAGCCAGAGCAGCCCGTCAGGGCAGGACAGGGAGGGAGAACCACGAAAAAGCTGCAAATTCCCCCATGCCACGGGGATGTCCCCTGGGGCAGCTGCTGCAAGAAACTCCCCAGGTCTTGGTCACTCCTCCCCAGTCCCCTGGGGATGCCCTGGCACAGCCAGAACTGGCTCCCAAACTGGGGTGATGGCAGCAGGAGCACCCCAAGGTTCCCCAGAGCGATGCGGGGGGGCTGCTGGGGGCCCCATCCCCTACAGACGCCGCTTCCCCAGTCCCTTACCAGCTCTGTCTCCTCCTGGCTCTGCCCGGGCAGGCTCTCGGCCGGCTGGAGCCCCAGCACTGGCTCCGCGGTGCCCAGCAGGATGAGGCTGGAGCCAGCCAGGCAGAGCAGGCAGAGCCAGGCGCTTCCCATGCTCCTGGCACCAGATGCGTCCCTGGATGCTCACGGCTGCACCCGGCTCAGGCAGCTTTATACCCCCGGCTTTGCCACCCCCCCTGCACCCACTGGCGTGGGCAAACACCCGCTGACGCAGATGGGGAGCGGGTGCGCGTGTGTGTCCCCCCCCCCCAGACCTTTACACGGTCATCAAGCTGGAGGGGGGACACACATCCCCGGGAGACGCATCCCCTGGGACGCACGTGCCCCGAGCCAGCGGCAAGGAGCCGGCGAGATGTACGTCAGTGCCACGTCCAGCCCAAGCGACCCGAAAGCCGGCGGGTGCGGAGCCCCCCTCCCTGGGGCTGAGGCCCCCCCACCCCACCCCCAGCCCCGCAGTGAGGTGGAGGCCACTGCCAATTCCCTGAGCAAACACGGCTGCGGCGCAGCTCATCCCGGTGCGGCCCACGTGCTGGCGGGGCCCAGGGTCCCTCCGGGGACGGCGCAGACAGGCTGGCACGCACACGGATCTCACAAACAGCTTTATTCCAAAGGAGGGGACAGACGGGGGGCGGGACAGAAAGGGTGCTGCAGCCCGCTCCCCCTCCCCAGGCCAGGGCTCTGATGCAGAGCCAGCCAGGGTGGAGAAAGGCTGGTCCCCCCAATCCTGCAGCCAGGACCCCCCCGGGGGGGGGGACAACACCCCTCCACAGGTGAGGGAGGAGCCGGAGTGTGGCGAGGTGGGGCTGGGTCCAGCTGGAGGGGAGCAGACATGGGTGAGAGGTGGGGAAGGGGAGATGGGGAATCCCAGCCCCCCCCATCCCCGTGTCCCACGGACACACCAAGTCCCCCAGTGTCCCCACAGGCTCCCCGAGTCCCGCAGCATCCCTGGGGGGTCCCTTTGTGTCCCACAGCCCTCCCAGATTCCCCAGTGTCCCTGGTGGGTCTCCCAGTCCCACCGCAGACCTGGGGGGTCCTTTCATATCCCACAGCCCTCCCAGGCCCCCCCTGTGCCCCTGAGGGGTCCCCTGCAGCATCCCTGGGGGGTCCCTATGTACCCCCCCTCCAGCAGGGTGGTGATGAGAGTGGGGAACACGGCGAAGGGGGGTCCCCAAACCTACCTGCCTTCCTCCTAGCTCTGTGGGGGCTGTTTCTGCCTGCGGCCTGGCTTCGGGGGGGGCTTGGGAGCCTCCGCTCGGCCTTCCCGGAGGCCCTGGGGCACAGAGCAGTGGGGGGTCACGGTGGGGAACCCCCCTCCTTTCCCCCCCCCCACTTCATTCGCCCCTCGCACCCTGCCGTACCACATAGAAGCCGGTGTGGTACCCGCTCATGTACCAGGCCATCAGCATCGCGGCCAAGGCATCTTCCTCCTCCTCTTCCTCCCGCAAGGCGTGCGGCGGGGCCGGGGGCCACGGGGGGGGCATCACCTGCCAGCAGCACCCACAGCCCCTTAGGGAGAGACTGGGGGGGGGGACAGCACCCCAAAGCCGGTGGGGGGGATGGCAGGCACTCACCTCAGGGGGCTGAGGGGAGTAAGGCACCCGCTCGCCCTTCCTCCTCCTCCTGGCGCCCGGGCGCGGCTCCCACGATGAGGGGGGACCCTCGCCCCCTGGGGTGTCGCTCCCCCCCCAGGCCCCAGGGCGGGGGGGCAGGAGATCGGCCAGTGCCCGCTCCTCGGTGTTGCCGTAGCCGTCAAACTCCACCAAACACGTGCCGGTGGCGGGGTCCAGCGCCCGCAGGTGAGCGGGGTACAGCCGCCCGTCCCCCGACCAGGGGGTGCTGCAGGCGTCACCCACCTTCCACTGCGGGGGAGACGGGGGGGCAGCCGGTGGGGTCATGGGGGGACAGCGTGGACCCCGAATCCCACGGGGTTTTGGGAGACACTGCTTGCTCACCTGATGGCCTTCCTCCTCCTCTTCCTCCTCCTCCTCCTCGCTGGGGGTCACGCTTGAGGTGGGGGTGTCGGAGTCGCCGTCTGAGCCCTCGACCGGAGCGTCCCGGGGGAGGGAGGCGCGGGGGGAGCGGAGTGGGATCGTCGCCTTCGCCGAGGATGCGCCCCCCGCCCGGAGGTCGGGACCCTGCGGGCAGCGAACGAGGCGTCACGGAGCCGGACGGAGACACGGGCACACACGGAGCGTCCCGGACACGGGCTGGAGCGGGACGTGGAGACACACACCCCCACACCCCCCCCCCCGTCGGTGCGGTTCCCACGCCCCCGGTTAGCGCAGACCCCCCAGCCCGTGTCCCGGTCCCGTCCCGGTGCCCACCCGCGGCCCCGGGGCGCCCTCGGCCATGGCCCGCCCCCGCACGTGGCCCCCGCGCCCTGCCCACTCCCCGCGCGCGGCGCCCTCTGGGTAACGTAGTCCCCGCCCTCCGGAAGGGCTGGAGAGGCGGGGCGCGGATCGACTACATTTCCCAGAGGGCAGCGCGGGTAGGTCAGAGAACGGGGCGGGTAGCGGGCAGAGCGCCGCCGCTGCCTCTCCCGCCCCCTGCTGGGACGGCGGGGGAGCGCGGCCACCGGTGCGACGAGTTGGGGACACGGCGGGGAGCGGGGGGGGACACGGAGGACAGTGGCCACACAGAGGGGGGGCTCGGAGGGGGGGACGCGGGAGACAGTGGGGACACGCACGGGGTGCCACGGGGGACACAACGTGCAAAGCCCCGGGGGTGGGTGACAGCACCGTGGGTGGGCGGTGTGAGCGTGGGCAGCCGGGAGAGTCGCGCGCCTGCAAGGGGCGGGTGTGCAAGGGGCGGGCGTGCAAGGCGCGTGCCCGGCAGGTGGCAGCCGCCGCCCGCCGCAGGGCGGTCCCTGCTCGTGTCCCCGTTTCCCCCGGCTCGGACCGCACCGAACCCCCCCCCCCCCCCCCCCCCCCGTTACAAATCCCGGTGCACGGACCGACCTCCGGTGCACGGAGCGACCCCTGGTGAACGGGCAGCAGTGTCCCCCCCCCACCGCCTTGCAGCCCCCCGCTCCGCGGACCGACCCCCGGTGGGGTCCCCGGTGCGCGAGCAGACGCCGCGCCTGCAGCCCCCCCCGCTGCACGGACTGACCCCCGGTGCACGGGCAGGAGACCCCCCCGCCTTGCAGCACCCCGCTCCGAGCCCCGGTGGGGTCCCCGGTGCACGAGCAGACGCCGCGCCTGCAGCCCCCTCGGTGCACGGAGAGACACCCCCCCCCCCCGGTGCACGGAGCGACTCCCGGTTCCCGCCTCGCCCCGCCCCGGACCCCCCCGATTCCCCGCTCGGTCCCGTGTTGGATGGGGGGGGGGGGGGGGGGAGGCAGTTTCGGGGCGGGGGTTCCCCACGCTCACTCCCCCCCCTCCCCGCCTCATCCCCCCACGTGGGACCCACCCAGCGGCGCCCAATCCCCGCGGCGCCCTCCCGTTCCTTTGTGCCGGGCCAGCCAATGGACGAGGCGGGGGCGCCGCGAGCCGCCCCGCCCCTCGAGGGAGCCTATAAAAGGCGGCGCCGGCGGCAGCCGCGGCGCAGAGCGATCGCGCTGGAGCGGCGGCTGGAGGGGACGGGTGATCGCGACAGAGCCGCGACAGAACTGAACCGCGACCGCGTTTGGGATTATCGCTTTCAGGATTTTCTTTTTCTCCTTCAACCCTAAGCGGAGCCCGCGGCCTCTCGGCGCCCGCCTCGGATTTACAATTGCACCATGACCCTGGAGGAGCTGGTGCCCTGCGACAGCACCAAGTAAGTGTCGGGAGGGTCCTGGGCTTGAGCTGGGGGGGGGGGGGGGGGGAGTGGGACTGGGACTGGGACGGGTCGTTGTCGCCGTCGCCGCTCACCGGCTCTGCTCTCCCGCAGGATGCAGGCGGTGAGCGAGGCGGTGGAGCGGGTGCTGGTGGCGGCGCAGCGGCAGGACCGGCTCACGGTGGGGGTCTACGAGTCCGCCAAGCTGATGAACGTGTGAGTAGCTCGGAGGGGGGGCCCTGGGGGGGGCGAGCAGGGCGGCTGCAAGGTGCCTGTGGGGGATCCGGGTAGCCCCAGTGCAGTTTGCATGGTGGGGATCCCTCTGGGAGGGCTGGTTCTTTGCAATAGGTTTGTGCAAAGTTTGGGGGGGGGGTTGCCCCCATCCCTTAGCTGCACGCAGGGAGGTGGCTCCAGTGACATGGGTGGGACAGCACCAGGGTGGGGGGTTACACCCCACGCAGAGCTGGTGAGGGTGTATCCCCCGTTAACGCCACGTGCGCCCGCAGGGACCCCGACAGCGTGGTGCTGTGTCTGCTGGCCACCGACGAGGAAGACGAGGGTGACATCGCCCTGCAGATCCACTTCACCCTCATCCAGGCCTTCTGCTGCGACAACGACATCCACATCCTGCGCGTCTCGGGGATGCAGCGCTTGGCTACCATCCTGGGCGAGCCCGAGCCCGGCGCCGAGCCCCGCGACCTCCACTGCCTCTTAGTCACGGTGAGTGGGACGGTGATGCACGGCCACACACCGGCGGCCCCGTGATTCACACCGGGCATCACCCCGAGGACGGGAGGGAGGGGGATGTGTTTTGGGGGCGGGGGATACGCACACTCAGGGCCACGTGTCAGGGCGACAGTGGCACTAACATTGTGTTTCTTCTCCCCAGAACCCGCACACGGATGCCTGGAAGAGCCAAGGGTTGGCAGAGGTGGCCAGTTACTGTGCTGAGAGCCGTGACAAAAACCAGTGGGTGCCATACGTCTGTCTGCAGGAGCGTTGAGCCAGCCCCAGCTGATGCCTGGCTCTACCTGAAAGAGGAGGAAAAAAAAAAAAAAACACAGCAGGAAAAACGGAAGAGAAATGGCCAGTTAAAAAAAAAAAAAAAAAAAACACAAACCCAAACACCCACCGATTTTATTTTTCTTTTTAACCGGAGAGGAGAAAGGAGCAGCCCGACCGCACTGGTGGGCATGGGAAGGAGGCGAGCCGTGGCCGGGCTGTGCCGGCAGCCCGGTGGGACGCTGGCCGGAGCGCACCGGAGCCGTGCCGAGGAGTTGTGCTTGGCCACGGGGACCGTGGGACTGTGCCGAGGAGCCCCAGGACGGGCACTGCGGAGCGCGGGGAGGAGATGGAGACTGGTTTGATTTTTCTTTTTGGCATCTGTGACTCGAGGGAGGCGAGGACTGCAGAGGGATGGATTTCTTTTTTTTTGCAAAAGAACTGCTTTTTTCCAAGGGATAAATCATCATCTCTCTTGATGGACCTGCAACACCAGTTTCAGTTTTTGCACTCAAGCCACTTGGAGACCCTGATCTGAATCTAGTCCAGAGTCTATTCTTATACTGATTTAAGAAAGAAAAAATAATTATTTGCAATAAAATACCTGAACTTACCAATGTCTGCCTCCCCCTGTGCTGCTGGAGCCGTTCCCACGGGCAGCAGGAGCAGCCGCTCCCAGACGGGTTTCGGGGTGGGGAGGGTGCTGGCTCTGCTCCCCACCCCTTCCCAGGGCATGGGGGGGGGGGGTGGGGGGTGGCATTTCCTACCCATGCACAGCCCTGCCACCTGCCTGTGGAAGGAGGTGCCCCCCCCCCCCCCCCCTTTCTCCAAAAAACAGTTTGTCCATGAAAAATACCCAGGGCTAGCACCCCACACGTGGCCCCTGGGTCTGGGGGAAGATGAGATGTGTGGGTTCCCCCCCCCCCGCGGGGGACACCCAGCATGGGGTGGGGGCTGTCCCAGGCTTTGGGGATTCATTCCTTCCCCCTGTGAAAACGGCAGCTCCCCGGCCGTGGGAACTGGGACTGCCCGCCCACCCGTGGGCTGAGCCCTGCAGGGCCCGGAAAACCCCCCCACGCCCCCAGCCTGTTCTGCTGGCGCGGTGTGGGAATTCCCCCCCCTCCCCCGCGTGTGATGGGTGCCTGGACTCCTGGGTTCTTCCCAGCCACCCCCCCCCCCCAATGGGTGCCTGGATTTGGGAATAGGGAGAGTGGGATGGTGAAGCCCAAAGGCTCAGGGGAAACTGAGGCAGCAAGCGGTGGGTGCAGTGACCATCCTCCCCACATCACCATCCCAGTATGGTGGGGTGCAGCGTGTTCCCCCCTTTTCATGGGTGATGGGGACCCCCAGGGGCTCCCCATGTCCCCTCCTTGGGGGCAGGAGCCACCTGCCTGAGCACATGTGTGTATGCATGTATGTGCACACGTGTGTGTGAGCTGCCAGCCCCCTCCCCGGCATCAGAACAGGCCCTGACCTGAGCTCACCTGCACTCGCCCCTGCCCCAGCGCACACGCATACACACACACACGTGTGCACATGTGACATCCCCAGGGACTTGCGCTACAGGCACCAGTGTCAGGCCGGGGTGACTGTCCCAGTTTGGCCCTGGCTGAGGACTGGGATCTGTGCCAGCCCCATGGCTGGCACTGGGCTACTGGGAAGGACACGGGAGTTTGCTGAGGGGGACACGGTGTCCAGCCTGCCTGGGGACACGGTGACCGTCCCATCTGCCTGGGGGGACAGAGTGACCGTCCCAGGGTGCTTCACGCCTTGGGGACATCCCCTGCGCCCTCCCTGTGGGCTTTGACTGCAGGGGGGGAAACTGAGGCACGGAGGGACAGCGGCCCGAGTGTGACAGGCCACCAAGGCAGCGGGGGACCCGTCCCAGCCCCCCTCCCACCTGCAGCACCACAGGCCAGAGCCATCCCTGGGGCCGTGGGAGTGGGTGCCCCCCCACCCAGTGTAGCCTGGGGGTCCCATGGGACCAGGCAGACCTTTGTGGGGGCAGTAACACACACACCCCCATGCATGGGGCTGGACACCCCAAACCACGGCCCCCACCCTGCAGCTGAGAGCTGGGACACAAACACACACACAGAGCAAAGGACCACCCAGCCTGGCCCACCGGGTCTGCCCCACCACGCCTGCAATGAGCTGGCAGGTCTCAGCTCGAAGCTGGGGGCAGTTTGGCGGGGGGGGGGAAGGGGAGGAAAGGCAGGATGGGGCCCCATCCCCCTGGTTGGGCACAGCCCGTCCCAGGGGGGAGGGTGATTTCTGCCTGTGTCCATCCCCCCCCCCCCTCCAGGTGCACCCACCAAAGGGGGTGATGCACGGGAAAGGGGGGGGATGCAGAAGGACAGCAGTACCCTGGGAAGCTGGGGGGCTGTGGGGTGAGTCACAGCCCTGAGCCTTCCTCACCTACCCACGACCCTCCCGCGCCTCAGTTTCCCCATCTGGCTCTGGAGAGGGGAGATTTGGGGGGGACATGGACCCCCGCCTTGTGCATCCCTGGTGGGGAGCACTGTGGGGTACTGTGGGTGAGCAGCGAGGGACATGGCTGCAGCTCACCCTGTGCCTCTGGGGTGCTGCGAGGGGCAGCCCCTGCCCGGGGGCACCCATGGGTGCAGGTCCCCGGGGGCACCCAGAGAAAGGCGGGAGGGAAAGGGCCGGCGGCTGGGCTGAGCCTCACCAAAACTCATTTCACTGATGAGGCAGCGGGTCACGGGGGACCGACACGCAGCCACTCGTGTGATGAGTGTGTCAGGCTGGGGCTGAGTCACGGCCCCGCGGCAGCGGGGGGGGGGGAGGTGGTGGAGGGTTGGGGGGTGGATGACAGCCCCCCCCGGAGCCTCCCTGCACACCCCCTCCAGCCCGCCCCCCCCCCGGGCCCGGCAGGACACCCACAGTGCAGCCCCAACCGCAGCCCACCCCAGAGCACACACAGGACCGCCCACACGTGTGCCGGGTCACGCACACGCACCCCCCCCCCCCCTCCAGACCCCCCCAGACAGCAGCGTGTTGCGCCCCGAGGGCCTGATCCTGCAGCAGGTCACAAACAGGAAAGGACACCCCCTCCCCACCCCCACCCCGCACTGCCCCGACCCCCCAACGCCTCCCCAGACCCTCCCATTGATACCCCCTCCCCCCCCGGACTCCCCAACAAGAGGGGCGCAATGGGACCCCGCAGCCCATGAGGGGCAATGGGACCCCCTCCCTGTGTAGCCACAGGTTTCCCCGCCCGGGTCTTGCAGCGCCGGGGCCCCCCCGGCCCTGACTCACTGCGGGGGCGGCGGGATCCCGGCTGGGCTCTGAGCCGCAGTTTCCAGACCGGCCCAGACACCGCGGGCGGCTGCGGGGTCTCGGGTGGGGGGGATGGGGGACACCCTGATTCAGGATCCGTGGGGCCACCTACAGCCAGACCCCCCCCGCCCGCCCCCAGCACCGCGGGCCCGGGACTGGGCGTCCCGGGCTGGTTTGGCTTTGCCGGTGAGAGCCCCCCCCCGTGACCCCCCACGCCCCGGGGACACACACCTTTCCCTGGCACGAGGTTCCCGTGTGCTGGAGCCGGCCGGGGCCCGCCCGACGCCGGGAGCATTAACACCGGCCGGTAATTAACCCCCAGGAGATAATTAGCGGGGGGTGTGGGGGGGTGTGTTTGCAGCGGGGCCGCATCCAGCCCGGCTGTGCAGTATGGGTGCTGGCCTGCACCCCGAGCAAAGACCTCCCAAAGCCTGGCACAGACGTGTGCGAGAAAAAAAAAAAAAAAAACCACACGCGTGTGCGCACACACAGGGACCCACAGGCGTGTGCCCCGACACGCGTGTGCCCCGACACGCGTGAGCACCGCGCTGGTTCGGGGCCGTGGCTGAAGCCGGGCGGTGTTTTTCCATCCCGGCACACGCCCCCATTTTCCACGGGAAATGTCCGACCCCTGATCCCGGGGGTTGATGCCACGGGGGGGGCTGGACCCGTGTGTGTCGTGTCCCCGCTCCGCCCTGATTCCTGCGTGTGGGTTTGTGGGTGCAGGGGTTCACCGGCGGGGGGGGGGGGGGGCTATGGGTGCGCATGTACATGCGAGGGGGGGGCTCAGTGATGAGGTTGTTTTGGGGGGGTGGGGGGAGCACACCGAGCCCCTTTCTGGCTCTGGGGCGGGTGCAGTCAGACAGGTCCGGGCCGGATTCTGCTCGGTCTGAGCCCCGGCAGCGGGGCTGGCCTCGGTCCCCCCGCTCCGTCCCCAACTGCCCCTTCATCCCCCCGGGGGGGTTTCCCTGGGGAGCCACCACCCACAGGGCTGCCTGTCCCTGTGCCAGAGGATGGGGGACCCCCACCCTGTGGGACCCCCTCTGACACCTCGCCCCGTCACTGCGGACAAGCAGCGCCCGGATAGGAGCCGTTGCTGCAGGTGGGGAAACTGAGGCACGGAGCTGGGGTGGTCCCTGATGGCTGGAGGGGGGGGAAATCCCCGTGCTGCCCCCCTCGGCATGAGGGTTCGTATCATGGCACACGGGGGCCGGATGCCGGAGCAGGAAGCTGCCCCGTGGCGTCACGATCGCCGTCCCAGCGCGTCGTGGGTGTCCCGGTGTCCCCACGTCACCCGGGGGAGAGGAACGCGGCGGGGGCAGGGGGGGGAACACGGAGTGATTCCCCGTGGTGGGACACGGGTGGCTCTGAACCCCCGCATCCCTGCGGTCGGAGCAGGGCTCTCCCTCCCGTGGATGCCCTGGGATGGTGGGATGTACTGGGGCCACGCAGTGCCGGGGGCGGGGGCGGGGGGGGGGGGAACACACGCCGTGCCCCCACCCCAGTACACCCCGGTGCCACCCGGACGCTGCTGCAGGCCCATACTGGTGCCAAGCCTTGGTGGGACCGGTGGCACCCGCAGCCGTCCCCGGGGCCACCCCGGTCACGTCCCCGCAGCCCCGGCCCGTGGTGCCAGCAGCTTCCCCGGCCCCGACGCCACGGGTGGATAATTATAGCTGCAAAGAGGCTAAAAATAACCCCGCGAAGGAGGGCCGGTTATTTTTAGCCGCGCTCCCAGCTCCGTGCCACCAGGCAGCCGTGCCGGAGCCCGCGGGAGGGGCTCCAGCGCCCGGCGGGTTCGCTTCGGGCTCCCGACCTCCCCGGTCACATCCGTGTGTTTGAAGTGAATTTGGCGCGGGGGGGTGGGGGTGGGGGTGTTTGAGCATCTGGGAAATGGTGGGTGCGGGGATCCCGCCGCCGGTGCGGCTCTGCTTGTCCCCACCCGGCCGCCGGGACCCTGACCCCCCCGCTTAGAGCCGGTGCCGGTGGCTCCAGCGAGGCGTCTGCCCGAGGTGCCGTTGGCCAGAGGCTGGAGGGGACACGGTGTCCCCTCTGCTCCCCTGTAGCTCCCTGGGCCTTCGCCTCCCCCAGCGGCCCCCCACGATCAGCACCAGCCCCCCGAGACCCAGCCGGGCACCCCCTGGGCGGGGTGACGGGGCTCGGCCCTTCGGCCGCGGCGGGAGGTTTGGAGCCGGGGGTGCCCGGTGCCCGTCCCGCTGCCGCCCTTCCCAGCTCGGCATTTCGGGTCAGACACTGAAAAATCCCAGTTATTCCAGGCACGCAGAGGAAGCGTGGCTCCGGGCTGCCCGGACGCGTTCCTGCCGGGCCCAGCGGGCAGGAGTCCGTCCGTCCGTCCGTCCGTCCCCCCCCCAGCCTCCCCCCGAAGCCGCCGGCGTGGAGGCCGTTGCCTTCCAGGAACGCGGCCCCCACGGCGCCCGCTGCCGCCGGCCAGCTCCGGCACCGGACCCCGGCGCTGGTTTGGGTGGGAACTGCTGGGAAACCCGAGCGGGGAGCCAGGGCCGCTGCCAGGGCAGGCGGAGGTCCCTTCCTTTTCTCCGAAAAGGGAAGGAACGCTGCTGGCGGCGGTTTCGCTTTGCTGTGGCTGGGTGGGACGGGAGGGCCCCGGCGCTTCCCGGGAGGCAGGAGATGCCGGCGGTGGGGAGCATCGGGGTGGTGGGAGAAGGGGACCCCCGAGGGGTCCGGCCCTTTCTGCGATTACCCGGCTCTAACGATGTCCCCTCCCGCAGCCCGGCTCCTCCTGGAAGGGCGAGTGGCCGGGGGGGGGGGGGGGGGGGCACCGTGCCCCCAAACCGGCAGCACCGAGACCACCCGAGCACCCGCTGCGCCGGACGCAGGACAGGCTGGGCAGGACATCTGGCAAAATGAAAAGTGAGCCTTTTTATTGTGTTATCAATTCACTTCTTAACAACAATTCCACAAAATATTAAACACTGTGCAAGAAATTGGTCTATGGCACACCAGAAATAAAAATCAGAGATCCGAAAATGCAGACGTTATGAGGAGCCTACGTTACAGACACCGATTACTTCCTAAGTACAGTCTTTACAAACCTTGATTTGCGTTTGGCAACAAGATCAGAGTTTGGCAAATAATAATAATAATAATAATAATAATAATAGACCAGAGAGAAAAAATTAAGGGCGCGAAGTATCAGACGCGTGGCTTCAGTTCAATGAAGTAAATGCGTTATTTTTACTTTGTTAAATAAAGTTGACTTTTTAAGTACCCGGGGGAAGGGGGAGCTGCCCGGCCCCGGGGGCTCCGGCCGGTCGGTGGGTGCTGTGTGGGTGCCCGGGCGTCTCCCGGCTCCGGCTGCGCCGCCGGGACGCTCCCCGAGACAGGGAGGGCAGGACAAGGAAAACGGACCAAAAAATTAAATAGAAGCAATGTTTCCTCTGTCCCTTTTCTTTTGCAGTCTCTCTCCTTTCTATTTTTGGCAACGGCTTCACCACATGCTAAAAAGAAACGCCAGACAGATTTGGGCATGTGTTTACGTCCAAAAAAAGGCCTTTGTGGAGCCGGGGCTGCTGGCAGCGCCTGCCCCACGCCCCAGCAGCGGCACAGGGGAGGCCCCGGCTCCCCGCTCCCCCTTCGCCATCTGGAGCACTTAAAAAGTCCTGAAAAGTGTCTTTTTTTTTTTTTTTTTCCCCTCCTTTTTTTCCTTTTTTTTTTTTTCTTTTTTTTTTTTTTTTTTGGCAAATGCACTAACAAAGTACAAGCAACTACTGTAATTTGCACTTATATTTATGCTATACAAAAACATCTACAGTATGATCACCGATTTACTCAGACAAGGAAAAAAAAATTAAAAAAAAAAAAAAGTCGAGGATTTTTCCACCTAACGAGTCACCCACCGAGAGACACCAGCACCCGCTGGCAGCACCCTGCCACCCCCTCGGCTCCCGGCAGGACCCTGCTGCCGCCGGCCCACCCGCAGCCCCGCGCCGGGAGCCCCCAGCCCCGTCCCCAAGCTCCCGGGGGTCCCCGAGCTGACGCTCCCTGTCCCCTTCCCCCGGCTCTGGGGGGAAGCGAATCCCCGAATCCCCGAACCCCCAAACCCCGCCGCCTCGCCCCTGGGCGGCCGTCCCACCGCCGGCACGACTCGGGCGAGACGCTGAGGATGAGTGTGGAAGGGCGAGGTGGAGGGGACACACACACACGGACTGACCCCGATTTGCTGGACCGTGGCACGCCTGCCTGGCTTTGCCACCAAGAGCATCCTGGCGCAAGCCCCCCCGCTGCCATCCCGGGGGCCGGGGGGGGGGCGGGATGCGGGCAGGGCAGGCGGGTGGTGGGGCCGGGGGGTCCCCACGGGCAACACGAGCCGGTGATGGGGTGGGGGGGACACGGTCCCGGGCCGGGGCTGGAGCAGTAACCTCGGCCGCGGAGCACGGGTTCTGGCTGAGCTGCGGCTCGGGCGCTCGCCTGGGTCACCGGCTATAGCACCATGCACTGGTCTCTAACATAGAGGAAGAAATCAGCAATCTGGAGTAGAAAAATAAGGCTGGAACTGTACTAGATTAAGGACAGAGGAAATTCCCTCCTGGAGAAGAGAAAGCCCTGCTGTGGCAAAACCCAGGCGCACCTCAGGACCGAGCTCGCTTGCCGCTACAGACGCGGCGTTCGAGAGCTTGAAGTTACGTTGGATGATTTAAAAAAAAAAAAAAAAAAAAAAAAAGTAAAAAAAAAAAAACAACAACAAAAAGGCATCGGGTGTTGCTGTGCCGGGGCTGCCGGCCGTGGCTGATGGATGATGCTCCGCGCGGTGCCGGGCTGGGGACACGCTTGGCCGTAGAGGGAAATAAATGCACTTCCCTCCGCTCCACCTCCCCCGGGGCTCGCATCCCGACGGGGCGAAATCCAGGGGGGCACCAGCAAAGCTGCCCCAAGGCCGGTGCCAGGACAGGAGCCCGTGACACAGCGCGGGGGAGGTGGGAGGTTTTAAACCACTCAGATCAGCAAAGGCCCCCGGGAAAGCAGCTGCAAGACGTACACAGGAGGTGCTGCGGTTTGCGTTAGTGTTAAAAATGTGGTGGTGGTGGTGCTTCTTCTTTTTTTATTTTTTTATTTTTTTTTTCCAACTCCGTTGAAAAAGGCGAGTGATCACGTACTTAAAAGAACCGATGGCGAGATAGATACCTGCAACCAAGAAGTGTAAATGGAGCAGCTCTGCTAACCACAGCCTCCGCCGGTGCCACGGCCGCACTCAGCCCACCCCTGCGCCGCGGGAGGAAGACCCCCCCGATGCCGCTCTTCCTCCTGGAAGATGCCGCCGCGCCTTCCCCGGGGACCAGCTGCACGGCCGCAGGCTCCGGCATCGCCCTGCGCAGCTCCCCCCGCCTTCGGGAGCCGGGGACAGCCCTGGGGACACCATCAACCTCCAAAAAACCACCCAGCCAAGCCTCCCAGTGCCCTGCCCGGACCAGCGACTCCGACCAGCCTAAGCGCACGCAGCACCCAGCACGGGCTGCGAGGTTTCCGAACCGCGGCGGGAAGCGGGAGCGCGGTTCGGCCGTCTCCCCCAGACCCCATCCCGAGGGTCTCCTCCGGCCCTTCTCCCGGGGGCGGCGATGGGAGCAGCTCCCTGTCCTGGGACGGGGTCGGCCGCGGGCGGTTCCCACCCCGGCGGGAGGTCATGGCGTTTCAAACCGAATCCAAAACATTGGGGGAATAGGAAAATAATTCACAGGATTTCACATCAGGTGTGGGTTGTTGTTTTCCAACACCCCCCCCCCTTTTTTTTTTTTTTTTTTTTTTTTTTTGTCCTCTTCCCCAAACCGAAACCCAGCACCGCCTGCACTCAGACCCCAGCACGGGGTGCCTGTGCTCAGACTAACCGGGAGCGGGTCCCGGTGGGCTGGTCAGGACCCCGACCCGTGTCACTGCCGTGTCTCACCGTCCCGAGGAGCCACCGAGCCCCGCGCTCTGCCCCGCCGACAGACCGACCTTGCTCGCTTAAATCCAACCCCCGGTCCCGTCCCCTCCCCGGCCGAGCTGGAAGCGGGCGAGGGGACACGCGCTGGGACGTCCCTGAGCTCTGATCTTTCACTCGAGCGTCGAGCACAGAGCCGCCGGGCTCCATCACTCCGCAGGGCAGCGGGAGGAAGGCTCGCCTGCTCGCCCCCTCTTCCTCGCGGGCTGCTCCGAGCCGGGCTGTCCGGTCCACACCGGTGAGCGAAGCGCTCCCCGTTTAAATCATATTTCAAGATGACTGAGGGATGGGAACTGAACTATTTCTCCTACAGCCTTACCCTCATCTCCCCGAATTAACTGGCTCTGGCAGGACGATTTCCACCTGCCACGCTCAGTGAGAAAAAGGGATGGGAAACGCTAGGAAATCTGCCAATTTTAGTGTTTCGGACTGAGACTCTCCAAAAGGCCAATTTTGAAAGATTTCTCACATGCTGCTGCACAACAGAGAGCCCCTTCCTGCCCCCGGTACAGTCCCGCATGGGGAGAACAGCGGTAAGAACACAGAGGAGCCCCCGAAGCGACTGGTGGGGCTCGAGCCCGGCCTGTCCCGCGCCTCGGGCCGCCCAACGCCGCTCACGGGAACTCTCTCAGCCGACGGATCTGCCGCCGCAGAGCGTTTCCCCGCGGTGCCGTCCCCTCGTCCGGGCGGACCCCCCCGGCCTCCATCCTCCTCCTCCTCCCCCCAGCCTCGGTTCATCCATGTGTGCAACAGCAATTTTTTAAGCCGTGTTTTGGTTGGGTTTTGTTTCGCCTTTTTTTTTTCTTTTTTTTTTTTCTTTTTTGTACTACTTTTCTACAAAATAGCTCCCCACCTGGACGCTTCTCCCTTGTTCCCTCTCAAGAAACAGAGCAAATTCTTGCAACGATGCGCTAAGTGGAAACTAATTGGATCAGACCCACGCAGAGCTTTGCTCAAAGCTTCTACAGGCCAGCTCCCAATACTCAGGCCTGGCATCCCACATCCCATTGGCAAATGCAATAAAACCCCCACCGCCTCCACCACCCTGGTACCAATTTCGAATGTCTCTATTAAAAATACTCCCCCCACCCCTCAACCCTGTTTTATTTTTTTTCCCGTTTTTATATTTTGACCCCTCTCAGTGCGGCACCTGCCCAGGAGCAGACACCCTTCCCTAAACCACCTGTAAATTTTTTTTTTTTTTTTTTTTTTTTTTTTTCTTGAGATTTAAGTTCTATTTGAATCCAACATTTAGTGTTTACCCCTCGGCGCAGTTGTAAGTTTGTAGCTTGGTTTCAGTTGATGGAGAACGGTGCCCTGCCTGAGAGATCGCACGCGCCGGAGCGAGGAAAGCTATAGGATGATACAAGGCTTTTTGTCCTTAAAAGGATTCTCCGAAGCGGGCACTCCAACCAGCAGTGGGTCGTTCCTGGCATGTTGCTCGCAGTAATTCATTAGCTCCGAAGATGCTTTCGAGACCTAGATGTTGCAAGAAAGCAGAAGGTTAGTGAGAGTATTCAGGTGCAGAGGCCGAGCTCAGCCCACGCAGCACCAGCACTTTCCCAAGCACGCCTGGGGGGAGCTTGGAGGAGGAGGAGGGAGAGGAGGAGGAGGCAGGACTAGACTCCCCCGAGCTCTGCGGGGACAAAGAGACCCAGCTGTGGTTCAGCTTTTCGTAACAGAAACTTTACGGAGATGGTGACAAGTGAAAAGGGGAAATGGACACGGGAAAAGAAGTTTGTAAGGTCTGACATAAATAAAGCAATGAGTACGGGAAAAATACTCCCAGTCAAGAACAAGAGCTTTAAAAGAAGGTATTATCGTCCTTATTTTTAAAGGCTTTGGGATAAAAAGGAAAGGAAGAAATGCCTGCTTGAAAGCAGCCATCCTCTGATGTTAAAAATGGAGGTTTTGAAACCGCTAGAAACTATTACTTAAGGCTCTGCTTATTTTAGTTCAAAGCCATCATCAGAGCCCAGAGCCGCCCCGGCATGGTGGTGCCAGCAGCTTCGGACACCAACAGCAACCCCCTTTTTTAAAAAATTAACTTAATAGCTGGTTGAACACAAGGCAAGCACAAAACACAGATGCAACCAGGCCACATCTGGAAGTCCCAGGTGTGACCTGCTGTAGTTGCAGAGCGAGGAGGAGAAACGGCGCTTGCGACAAAACCCAGTTTCCCTGCAGCTTTGGGCAAACCCCGCTTCGTCTGTGCTTCCACACCACAGGGAGGGCATCCTCCTCCTTTTTTTGGTGTCTCGTGGAAAGGCAGGTCCAGAGACTGCATCAGATAAGGCGCTTTTGTGGGTATTATTGCAATATTAAGTATTAAAGTCCTAACCAGTAATGAACACTTTTAATGAACACCATCTGCTGCCGGCCTGCACTTAACCATACTTATCACACACATCGGGATGCAACAGCAAAACTGCTCTGCAGAGACAAGGTCAAGGCTCTACTTTAAACCTCTTACTCACATAAGACAGTAATTACTCCTAATCTCAGAGCAAAGCAAGGGGAAAGAGATGAGCTTGCCGGGAGCGCGGCTGAACCTGTTATGAGAGCAAGTGGCCTGGAAACCTCCGCACGCCTCTTAAAGCTTCGGGGAAGGGCGAGCCAGCCGCGGCGGCTGGGAAAGGCCCGGCCCTTTCTCAAGGACGGGGCTGCTCGGGCTGGGGAGGAATCGGGGGGGGGGGGGTGGGGGGGGTGGGCATTCCTCATGTTGCTGCTGGCATGGTGTTGAGGGGCAGCCCCTTCCCCTCCGCTCATTTAGGGCGTCTGCCTGCGCGGTACGGCGAGCGCTCGCTTGCTGCCGCGCTCGGGAGCTGGCCGGCTCGGCTCGCTGGCCCGAGAGCTGGGTTCACGGGTCACGGCTTTATTGCAAGCTCGCTCAGACAGCACCTCTTCTCCACTCAGCACGTTGCGGTCCCACCGCCGTTGTTCTTTCCCAGAGAAGCGTTTAAGAGAGTCACAGCTACAGAGGTCAGAAAGTACACGCACACCCTCCTTCCGCACCGTTTGGGATCCCGGAGCTGAGACACGGTAATTCTTAGGAGAGTCAGCAACGCCTGTGCTGGGGGAAGACCTGTAATTTATTTTGTCTTCCCTAAAATGGCCTCGCTGATGGGTGCATGACTGGAGTCTGGAAAGTGGTGGCCCTAAAAACAGCTACAAAACCTCATGGCTTTAAAAAAAAAAAACCATATATATATTCAAAGAAGCAGCAGCAGCTCCCGCACATCAAAACCAGAGATGACAGAGGACCTGCTGCTGCAGAAGTAGCAGAGGGGAAGTCAAAGAAAACATTCTTTGACCAGGAAACTAAATTAAAAACTATCAGGTGGATTTAACACCTATGCATTTTACAGTATTTCAGTTTCACTTGTGCCTTTCGTCACCTTGCGTGGGGGTTTCCTTTGCGTGACTTACTGACAAGTGACTTTCCAGGCACAGATCTGGTCTCTTTGCCCCGGCCCGGGGAGCTTCTCGGCGGGCCGGGCAGCGGCGCAGCGCAGCCCACCCTGCCGAGCGAGGCGGCCCGAGCCCAGGCGCGGGCAGCAGGGCCGGCTGAGTGCGGTTCCTCCGCGGCTTAAGAGGCGCAAACTCAGAGAGTGCCCCGGGGGTGCCTCGCTCAGAGCTGGGGACTTGCTGCCCACATGCTAATATTTGTCTCCAGCAAAGGCTGCTCTCCAGAGCTCATGTGGCCAAACGAGCCCGCGGAACCGCAATCGCCGAGCCGGCTCCCAGAATAGCGCGGAGGCTGCTGGAGGAACCCGGTCCCTGACTCTCCGGGGCCGCCGTGGCTGGGAGCGCGTTACCTGCTCCAACCCCCCCGTGCCACAGGGAGCTTTATTTCTGAGGCTCCTTTGCTGGCCCAGCAGACTGCTGGCGAGGCAGCAAGCAGCTGAGAATAGACCCCAGTTTGCTATCCCGGACAACTGCAGCACAAAATTAACCTTCCCTAGTTCTACCATAAACACGCCTCAAACCAGAGCGAAGGCGTGCCGCTGTCCTTTTTCATTTGCAGGAGCTCAGCAGCTGAGAAATAACTGCGCAGGCAGCGACATTCTGAAACTGCACACAGACAGTGAAGCCAACCTGCGAGAAAATGGGGAAACAAGACTGGAATGCACGTGAGCATGGCGGGCAGAGCTCTGCTGGGTCTGGCCTCTGCAGCTTCAGTGCCTTCACGGGCTGCACGTGCCCAGCTGAGCCCCAGGAACTTACTCCAGGGATCGCGTGGTCACCTCTGACACCTGGGAGAAGCTGCCCAGGCTGTGACCTTACCTCCTGGCGTGAGTGGCGTCCGTAGGGACAGGTCCCACTTACAACTGCTGCAATATCTGAGCCGGAGACATCGCAGCAGCGTGCTCGTGGGAAGCATCCTGTGAAAACCTCCCTGCTCCATCCCTGCCCACTCCCGAGCGGCCCGTGTCGTGCTGCTCCAGCCCCCCGGCTCACCTTGATCCTCTCGATGCCGGCTTCGATGCGGAGCTGCTCCACCAGCTTGCGGGCCTGCGCTATGTTGTTAGTTGTTGACATTGTCTGCCATCGGCTCCAGGCCCCAGCACGTGAGAATACTGCAAGACAAGGAGGGGGCAGAGGGGGGTTGGCATCGTGCACAAAGCCACAGTGCCGCCTCGAGAAGGGTTATGCACAGTGTCCTCGCTGACAGCCACGTGCCAAGGGCTTCCACGAGCTCTAAACTGATGACACCAACTTAACGTTTCCTGATTTTGCTTCAAGTTCTCTTTTCCTTTAAACAGCACTCTTGGTGCACTCTTTTCAGGCTTTTTTTTTTTTTTTTTTTTTTTCCGATTAAGAAAACCAAACAGAAACTTGCCGATGAGAGGGGAAAAAAGAAACTTTTTCTGCAGAAAGTCCTGCCAGATGCGTTCAACTGACTGACTGGAAAAGGGAACAGAAATCTTCCAGCCCGTGCAGCCTGCCATGCACCGCTTGCAGTGAGCCAGGCAGGGGGAAGGTGGACAGAGGCGCTGCCCGACTTTGACCACACACAGCTCCTGGATGTTCACCCTCACTTTTCATCTGTTCATTGTACCGCTGCCTTCGTCCTGCCTGACTCAGGATTTCCTCTGCACAACGAGGCTCCAAGCAGCAACTATAAACATTTGATACTGTCCAAACTCAGACCTGTGCTATTTATCCATGATTTTGCAAATTGATGTCCCTCAAAAGAGTAGAGTAAGAAAATAAGAGCGACAGCTGGTCCCAAGCTGGGTGGAAAGCCAGGGCTCAGGCACGAAGCAGAGGTTTCTAGATACCGAAGCAGTGGATGGAAGCAGGGGACAGGCAGTGAGGCACAGGCACAGGCGGCTATAAAAGCACAGGAGTCACTGTTAGCTCATGTCTCAAATGAACCTTCCATAAAAACGGTGCAAAATAAAGGCCTGGCTGATCATGGAAACAAGGCGAGCACGGCTGGGCGAGCCGGAGCCAGGCCGGAGCAGGACCGGAGCCGTGCCAAGGCACAACCCCTTTCTGTGCAGCGAGTGTCTGGTCTCTGAGGGTCTTGCGGACCCCGTCCAGCTGCCGAACTCTGCACCCATCCCCGGCTGTGCTGACTGTGGGGCTCTAATGTACCCGTCACCCGGCTGCACCCCACACGTGGGGCCGTGTCCCTGCGACCGCCACGCTGCAGCCCGGCACCCCGGCAGCGAGAACGCGGGCGGTTAAATGACCTTCCTCGAAATTTAAAAGCAGCAACTGAAGAAGTCTGTTTGCGAGACCAAAATAATCCATCACTGTCACTCGGGCCCGAGCTGTGGGGCAGCAGCCAGGGCTGCGGCACGCCGGAGGGCAGCTCCGGCCACGCTGTCCGAGCCCGACTCCCTTGGCCAGACACCGTTCTCGGGTTGTTTCTTTGTGATCATCTCCGTGGGGCTGCTGCAGGGGCGTCAGGAAAAGTCACTTCCTTGCCCTGCCCGGCAGTGACTCAGCCCCTGACCATTTAATAATGGCGGGGAAGAGGGGGGAGAGGGCTGCAGCGAGTACCACCTCCCACCTCCCGACGCCTGACAAACCAGTAGATGATGCTGGGAGGAGGAAAGAGCCAAAGCAAACACGGGGTCAGATACCAGCGGCGCTGCCCCAGCCAGACGCCCACTGCAGCCCTCTGTGCTAGCTTTAATTAGAGACTCCTTCAGCCTTCTCCCCAGGATCCGCAGCTTCAAAGCAGATGCTGAACTGCTGCCTTTAGCAGGGGGAAGAAAGGGGGGGAGTGTCTGCCCCATCCAAAATCCTAGCAGACTTGAGCTGTCTCGCCTATGTTTAGACATTAAGGGAGTTTATTCCAGACCACAACGGTACTCTCGGGGATTATTTTGCTTGGCAGCAGCATGCAACGTGCGCTGCACTTTTCAATCCCTGAACAGCACTCAGCTTCACTTGCAACACCCAGTGCTATGGGAGAAAACTAACGGTGCTTCAGCCGGCGTTCCCAACTCCACCACGGGACGATTCCCTGAATTAGCAGGGTTATTCGGAAATCTCCGCCTCGCTAGTCCTGGAAGATGTTAGTCAGGGCACCATGGGAAGCCACACTGTTGAAATAAAGTCTGGTACTGTGGAAATTGGGAGAAGGAAGCAGGCTGGTCCCCAAGGGAAGGATCCTCCTCTCCTGCTCTGGTTTGAAGCACTCCAAAATAGTGCAGGCAGCGTTAGGACCGGGGAAAAGCTCTGTCTCAAAGTCAAGCTCCTTCTAAATCTGTGCTGTGAACTTGAAAGACCTCCCTGCTGCAAATAATTCACTCCTCATTGACAAAACAATTCTTCACCTGGATAAAGAGTTAGCAGGCAGCTGGAGGAACAAAAATACAAGCAATCAGATATAACTTATGTTTGCAGCAGCACAAGATCACCTGCTTGTACTTTCCCAGCTTCCTGTTTATGGAACAAGGCTGATGAATCAGTCCAGGGTGAGCTACTTAAGGGAACTTCTGCTTCTGCCTCAGTGCTGGGAGACGCACAGCCCGTGTCCCCATCCCCACAGCTCCTGCTGCACGGGGAACACCAGCCTGGCTGAGGGAAGGACGCTTTTTACTAAGTACAGCACGGAGAGAGCCCTGCTGCGTGGCAGGAGTTATCAAACTAGCGTCTTAAAAGTCCTTGGCAAGGGGGAGGTTTACTCCCTGCTCTCCCTGCAGCCTGGTTTCATGGAATCCTTGCAAAGCGAAAGCATCTCTTGTAAATCAGAAATGATGCTTTCCGTGGGTCGCTCCAGCATCCCAGCCGGCAGGCACCTGCCTTCCCCTGCCCCTGTGCTGACGGCCGCTCTCCAGCTCGCCCCCATCCCCTGCCATCCGGCGAGACCCCGCTTTGCCCACGGTAGCGATGCACTTTGCCTCTCCCAAGCGTAAAGAGCAGCATCAATCGCCACCGAGCACAGGGTTACGCGGTTTTACAGCGACAAAATTTGCAGCAGCGGCTTCTACTTCCTCCTCAGCCGCTGTCACCCAGCGGTGATGGCGCAGGGGCCCTCGGGGGAGCTGGGAACCGAGCGAGCGGCTCCCTGCACGCCGCGCTGCCGGCGCAGTTCCTCTTACAGCCCTTTCAATTTCCGAGTTCAAATTTCAGCATCCGAGCTCTCAGAAAGGAGAAGGGGAGTTTTGCTGGATGCAAAATCCTCCTCCAGCTGCAGCTGGAGCATCCTGAGCATCCCTAGGGCAGCCGCATGGTGCGAGCCACAGCGGGACCTGCATCGCTTTCGATGCCCGCGTCCGGGCTGCTGGCACAGGTCAGGTAACCCGGCCCTGCTCCAGGGCTGCTCTGCCCGGCAGGAGTTTAAAACTGGCTTCTGTTACCTTGGTGAACAATTAACTAAGAGCGTCATTAGCAACTGGAGACCATCAATACAAAAGATCCAGTGGGCTGCTGTGTGGCACATGAAGGGCGTCCTTGGGATTTTTTAAAAGCCAAAACAAACTTTAAAGATGTCATTCGGCAGACTTACAGGGGTGTGTAAATAACTCGTGAGGCAAAGGTATTTGGAAAAAAGCCATGCAGAAGCACGTGGAGTAAAGTATGTGTGATGCAAATCAGGATGACATGCAGGACGCAGCTACATTGTCCCTTCTCCAATCTTTATGTTTTAAAGAAATCAGCATTTGGAAAAGGATGGGGAGGCGATGTCTGCAGCGGGGCCTGGGGAGGGATCACGGGACAGTCAGGACACCCAGGTCTTGTGCACATCCTCCTGCCTCTGCTCTGTCATCTGACGGCAGAGAAATAATCCACGCAGCCACGCTTCCTTCCCGCAAGGCGGGCGAAGCCTTCGGTGTTTGGCCACGACCGACCTCCTCCCGCCCCAGCCCACAGGGAGTGGCCGGTGCCTGCCCAGGACACACTTTTTCTTTCCCGGTATCTACTCATGACTCTGCAGAACTCCGGCGCTCGCTTTCTGCTGAGTCACAAACGGACATCATTCAGCAGGAAATAAATCTTCCCACATCTTTGCCAGGGCGCCTTCTGCCCTCCCGGCTAATCCATCTTCCACTTCTCCCCAGCAGCATTCCTGGGAAGGGCAGCGCTGCCCAGAGAGGACAACCCAATTTTTGGAAATTACTCTGATTGTGTTAACGCAACGTTAGCTCAGCGTGGATTTTTCACGCTGTCGTGTAAGCAATTCCAGGAGGGCTGAAGTCATCAGACAGTCTTGCAACTCTCCGGGCTGCCGTCCCTGTTCCTCCAGCAGCGGAGCGATCTGGCAAGCGGCTGCAGATCCCAGACTGCAGAGGAATTAACAGGGATGGGGCTGCAGCAAGACTTCACACCTATGTGGCTGCAAGACAGCGCATGAAAAATACTGCTGCAGTAAGCTAAACACTGAAAATTAGTGAAAATTAAGAGAACACAAGAGCATGGGCAATGATATATCATCCAGTGGTGTTTCAAGGTCAATGCCAACAAAAGCAGCAGTGAGGGAAGGGTTATGAAACCTTGCAGCAAGTAAACAGGGAGCCAGGAGTGCAGGCGAGGGACAGAGCAGACTCAAGGATGAAGCAAACAAGTCCTGAGTTACGATCTGGCTGCAGTGCAAACATCCCGTGAGCACTTCTGCCTATTTTAGGAAAAGCACTGGAGGACAGAGCCCCTCCCCCCCCCCCCCCCCCCCATTAAGTGAGGATATATTCTGGAACCACTAGGATTTGCTGTTTTAGACTGGTTTGTATATTATGAACCGAAAGCAGGTCAGGATGCTTGTAACTGTGTCCTGCAGCAGCTCAGTCTCTGACTCAAGAACAACCACAAATGCCCTCTTGCCGATCAGGTTTCATCATGAAACAAAGAATTCAAAGGATCACAATAAACGTTACAAAAGCAGATTTCTGGTGTTCACATTCTTCATATGCCTTCAGCAAAAAAGGTTCTTCAGTGTTTACAAAGCAGGTGCTTCAGGCAGCGTATTACTATCAGCACTCCAGTGTTTCCATTGAGGCAAGCATGAAAAAGGCATTTACATGGGAGTGTTTTGCACTTCCAGTACCGAGAATCTGTTCTGCACAGCCCTCTGACGTCAAACCAAGACCGACTTGTGACTATGGAGTAGGCACCTCCGCTT